TCTTTGTGGCCACTCCTGCCTGACAGCTGGGGCGGAGCAGAACGTCTGGGACGCATGATGAGTCAGGGCCTTTTTTTTGCCAGACTTCCCTGCCCTATAGCGGGCAAAATATGGCACTTACAATTTTTTAATTATTATTTCCCATGATCAGAGAACACAAATTATCCCATGATCAGAGAACACAAATTAACAAGTTTAGAAGAAGAAATATTTTTTTTTTTATGTGCCTGTGGGTGACAATGGCCAAATAGCCCAGAGCAACACAAGGGTTAAGGCAAGTGCCTCCCAAGGGTTAGTACAATCACTTGATATTGCTCATCCCAAGAGGAGCCATTACTCTTGGGTTTTTAAATTTCTTTACCATTTTTTCTTTTTCTCACATTGTTGTGGGCTTTATTCCACTATGCCCAGCTTATGTTTCTCTTGAGCAGTCTTGGTCACTAGATCTGACTTTATAATTTCTGGGGGAAGCCACTTCGGCTTCCCGGAGCTTACTAGGCTGATATGCTAATGTCAGACTTTGGCATCAGTCATGTGTATGGAGTTCTGTGGGCCTACCAGGGACCATGAGCCAGAACTTGACCCCCTCAGAGAGGCATGGGGAGCAATGGCCTATAAAAAAAACTTGTGTGGTTGGAAGCATTCTATGTCTGCCATCGACTGGGTCAGGCACCCAGAAAGGTAAGCATCCCAAAACAAGCCCCTATTCTGGTGAAATTATTGCTTCCAAAAGCCGAACAAGTGGATACAACTCTCCTAAAAGAAACAAACAATCATGACGTCAAACGTCGCAGCGCCACTGTCTGCGCAGCTCCCCGCTCCCCAGGAGGGGGAAGGGGGAGCCCCAGACCCCTCACGCCGGCTATCCACCCGTCAGTTCTAAGGCTGATGCTAAAGACTGAGGTCGTGTGCTCTGGCTCCGGTGGTTATTTCAGCACTGTATCTAGTGTGTGGTGACTGTCTTCTAGGTGGTGCGTGAGCCGGGAGTGGTTCTCCAGTACTCAGGCTGTATGCACCTAGGGTGGCTTGGGGCCACCGTTCACAAGTTCCTTGGATTCTGCCCCTGCTAGGCCATTTACTGCTTTGTTACCGGCCGCCCTTTGTGTGCTTGGGTGTTCTGTCACCCTTGTTCGCCTTTGGGTAGGGGGCAATTTGCACTGGTAAGGGCGCAGAGTACTGCTCAGCTTGTTTTCACAGATCATAGCAGCCGGCACTGTTCCGCCTGGGTTTGTTGTCCTCTTGGGGGGTTTTCTTTTTCTATTTGTTTGTCTGCCTGGTGGGGGGGGGGGATCTGCCTTGGTTCTGGCCCCCTGTGTACTGAGTACTCTTCCTTCTTCCGGTGGTTCCCTCTACTAGGTCCCTATGCATGTACACATCCCAGGGGGTTCAGTTCTTAGATGGTTGTTTGGTAGACTTGGGCGCCGGTTAGCAGTACCCTGCCTGGGATTACCTGGGCGTGAGTCCCTGTTGATAAACGCTTAGGACCCTGGGAAACCTCAAGGGGACGCATGGGTCCGATAGATGTGGCCCTGGAGTCCCCCCCCCTCGCTTTGTGTGAGTTCAAGGGTTGCTCTGTCCCCTTGTCTTAGGGTGACTCATTGTTTTGCCTCCATCTGCTGCCTGTGGGGTCTGTGGCACCTTCGGTTTTGTTGCTTCTTTGTGGCTCGATTACCCTGTCTTATGCTGATTATGCGGGTGCAGACAGCTCGGGCATTGCAAGTTTCAGTGGTGTAACACACTTGGTTGTTTGCTTCCCAGGAGCCCCAGGGCTGCCCCGTTTTGGTTGGTGTGACGGGGCTTGGGGGTGTTGGACGCTTCGGTTTTGTTCCTTCCGTGCCCCCTTGTCTTCCCTTGTTATGGTTCCCCCCCCCCCCTCTCCTTTCTCCCTGCATCCTTACCGTTTGTGGGTTCGGGGTCAGGGCAGGGTTTCGCTTGTCGTGAGACTTGGGCAGTCTCGGGAATTTTCCCCCTTCCGGGGTAGCGACGGGGACATTCAAGCCTGTTCCTCCAGCCGTGTTGTATGAGTCTGCCAGTGGGCTCCATTCCTTAGTATTTGTCCAGTTGCCGGGCTTTTTCTTGTGAGGCTGGAGCTTTGGGGGAACGGCTCAGCCCCGGGGCTGGTGAGGGGCTGACATTTGAAAGCCTCCTGGGTTTTGCTACCCTTTGGGTGGGGCTTGCGGTTACAAGGAGTGTGGTTTTTTCTCCCCCCCCCCTCTGTACATGTTTTTGCAAGCCGGCCCCCTCCCTGGGATCGGTTCCTCGTCCCTTGTATCTGTCGAGCATGTCCTGTCGGTGGGTGTGTTTCTCCACCCTTCATCTTGGGACAGACCTTCACGGTCATGTTCCCCTCTTCTCGGGGATCTGCATGACTTTTGGTCTCGGATGCGACTTTGCCTTCTGTGCCTTCGTGCTTCACGTTTGCTTCTTTCTGTTCTGGAAGGTTCAGGAAGGTTTTGTTTCTTCCCGTCTTCTTGGAACGTCTGTCGTCTTCCGGTTCTTTCTGAGGCTTGCTGGTCCTTCTCCAAGGTTTTCACTTTTCGGTCCTGTTTTGTTCTTTCGTTTTTGTCTCTTCTTTCCATGCACTGTCCTGCGCTGCACAGGGTTGCCAGATTGGGCTCCTTGTAGCCCGGTTGGGCTCTTTGTAGCCCAAATGGGGAGCTGCGCTATGTTTCTTTTCGCTCCTGCCTGCTCTTTTCGGCTATGGTTGGCGGCTGCCCTGTGTACTTTCATATGGGATTTGGTCATTAACGACACTATTGTCTATTTTCTAGTCATATTCGTGGTTTCTTTCTTCAGCTCGCGACTTCTTGCAACCCACGTCTGGCATCCCTGCTGCGCATGCGCCTTAGTTGTTTGTTTTGATACGGACAGTGTGCACGTGAGCTGCGTTTTTACGTCCCTTTTCTCTCGAGTGCTTCACCTCTCGCTCTTCATTCTCCAGTCCATGCCTGGTAGCTCCTGGGAGTGTTCTGAATTGCTGCTATGGGGTGGACGCGGGGTTTTCCCTGCACATGGGTGTGGGGCTCCTCCGTCGCTTCTACCCTCTTCTCCTGCATGTGCGGCTCTACCTTCTTCCACTGGCAGTGCTCCCGGAATCTTCTTGGCTATGTTGTGTCGTGACACATTCGTGCCTACATTCTGCAGATGAATTTATGCAGTCTTACTTCTCTTTTGGCCAGGCGCTGGTTAGTGATTCATGGATACGGATATACGAACATCAGAACACAGGTGACTGTAGCAGGCCTATTGGGACTTACGAGGCAGCTCCTGTTTATACCTATCCAGTCCCACTCATATGCATGTCCAGCCCATGCTTGAGTTCAGAATAGGGGCCCTACCTGCACCAGGTTATGAGGTACAATGGTGGAGGTATGTGTTATGGGGTAAGTGTCCCTATCAGGGTGTTCTGAGGTAACATTTTGCAGCAGTTTTCATGCTGTGGATGCGTGTTGGGGTTTGGTTGTGGATTTTTGTTGGCCCTTCCGTGCTTCTTTCTGGGGCCTTCCTTGTTCGTCTGGGTGCCTGGTTGCAAGGGGGGTCATGGCATTGTTCTTTGTGGATTGGATTCTCTGTACGGTGCTTACCTAGTTGTACTTCCCTAGTTGTGTTTGCTGGAGTTGTTGCTCTGGCTTTTTGGTCCCGCTTCTCATTTGTTCTTCGCTCTTGGGCAGGTTCCTGGGCCTGCTGCACTCTATCATATCTGCACTTGAAGCTGTGTGTGGTGTTATCCTCCACCACATCGCTTCCTCATGCGTTCCTCTTCTCTACTACTCTGACACTGTGGTCCTTCTTTCCCGTGTGTGTCTGTCTCATTTGGGCTGTCATTCCACTGGTGTCCCCTGGTGCGTGTGCCCGTGGGGTCCTGTAGTCAGTCTTCTCTCTTTTGTTCCTCCCTTTGGGGATCTTAAATGTGGTGTTCATATTCTCATGGCTCGTACTCCTTGGGTCGGGTACTGGTCTGGTGGCATTTTCACAGTCTCAGTGTCGTTTCTTTAGCATTGCGCGTCGGGACTGTTGTCACCGATCTCCTGGCAGGCTTGCTGGCGTTGGGATGTTTTTCTGTATGGCAGACGTTCCATTTCCTCCTTTGCCGGCTTGGGTTTCTAGCTCTGCTAGTTCCTTGGTCGCACCCGAGATCTTCCCGCGGCTCTGCCTCTTCCTATGCTCGATTAGCCCATGGCAAGGCTGGTTTGGTTCTGCCTCAAGTCTCACCTTCTGTTGGTGATTGGGTGGCTTCGTTGATGGTGTCCCATCTGTGTGCTTCTTGGCGGCAGTGTGGGGTTTTTTGGCAGTCCTTCCTTTTCCTTCTGTCCCTTCTTAGGTAACTGCATTGTTGGCATGGTCTTATCCTTCTCTTGTGGAGGTTTGGGGCTGTCATCTTGCCTCATACTGTCGCCTCTTCTCATGCGGCTCTGGCGGAGCCGCTTCAGCTTGCTTTCGGTTTTGATGTTCCTTCTGCACTGTTTCACAAGCTGTCTCGGGCATTGTTTCACCTCTGGCCTGCTCATGCGCCGCCTGAGCCGTCCTGGTTATACGACAGAGTGGTCTCTTTTCTTTCTTCTCTTCGGTTTGTTGTGGCCCCTTCGGTTCAGGTTTGTTCTCTGTGACTCTTTTTCTGTTGGCATTGGCCTCTGGGGGTCGGGTTGGGGCACTTCATGCTCTCCTCCAGCACAGGAGTTTCTGCTCTTTCGGTCTAAGTGATGGTTTTGTTCGTCTGCAGCCGTCTCCTTTTCTGGCGAAGAGTGAGACTGCTGCTTTCCAGAGGGGTCCCTGTGTTGTTGATGCTCGTTGGGTAAGCCGGGGGTGCATCCTGTTTTGTGTCCGGTTGTGGCTCTTCGCTGTTATTTGTGCGCCACGGCTTCTGTCTCCGGGGACGCACTTCGGGTTGATTTGGTTTCCCTTCTTCCCTGTTCGCGGGGTGCGGGTCTCCCGTGTTGTCCGCGGATTTCTCATGGCTAGCTGGCCTGCGGTCTATCCCCGTGCCCATGACGTTTGTAAGTTCGCTGCTCTTGCTGCCGTCTTGGCGACATGTCCTGGGCTGCCATTCGGGCACAGGGATTTTGGAGGTCGATTAGGGTCCTGGCTGCTCGTTACCTCGTGTACGATCCTGGACCTCATCCGGCCTGTGTTGCCTAGGGTTGGTGGTTGCAGCCGGTTGTCTTGACTTCAAGTTGAGGACCGACTGCCTCCCGAGTAGGTCCCTAAACATTCCTCTTTGGGTAGTTAGCTCCAGGGAGTTGAAGGGGTTCCCCCCCAGAAAACCAGCGTTGAATATAATGAAATGCCATTTTCTGGGCGAGACCCGGGGGTTTCCTGGCATCCCTCACTCCCTCCGGTCGGCGTTTTTCTTTGTGTTTTGACATCCAGCCTCAGAACTGACAGGTGGATACCCGACATGAGGGGTCTGGGACGCCTCCTTCCCCCTCCCGGGGAGGGGGAGCTGCGCAGACAGTGGCGCGGCAACGTATGACGTCATGATCGCTTGCTTGCAATACAGTAAAATACTGGGATCCAGGGTTTCTGGGATCAAACAAAGGTACCTCTCAAGACTTTTCCTTGAACAATAATTTTCTTATCAGCATTATGGGAAGAAAACTAGATGAGCTACTGAAAGGTCTTCCCCAGAAATAAAGTTGTATGTAATGAAACTCTCATTCCTGGGCAGCATTTTTTGGCAGCCCCTTTGATCTCTGTCTTCCCCGAGTTGAGGTGCCATTTGGCAGCCAGGTAGTCAGGTAGTAGGCACTTCACTTGTTCAAAGTGTTTGGCAATTCAGTATTGTCAAACAATATTCAAAGCAAGATTGGGCGCGTATAAAACAATTATTATATACTGTATGGTACAGTTCCAAGACATACATCGTCTGATTTTGGCTCTATTATATGACTCAATGGATTATCACTCATAAACGAGAGAATTCCTCATTATCCCTTGTTATGTTATCCCTTGTTATAATGTTATCCCTTGCATTAGACATGTGTATCGAAATTTTGAAACAGTAATACTTATTAGTTTCTAAGATACTATATTGCTAAATATTTTATCCCAAATAAATTTAAAAAATTACTCCTCTAAAATCTGCCACTAGAAGATTAAAAGCCACTAGAAGATTAAAAGCCACAATAAACAAACGGACTTTTTTTTTACATCAAAATACACAAGTCTTGAAAGTTTCAGATTAAAACATCAAGGCATTCTTAAGATATCATTGACAGTAAATTTTGACAAACCTATAAGGAATCCCTACCAAGTATAACTACATGTAATAATAAACAGATGCATCAGTTCTTAGATTCATAATACAGTAGCAAGGCAGAAAGCTTGTAAACAACACCTTGTAAATTCCCAGGCAAGTTTCCTACTGGTGGATGTGTAGACTGCTGGGGAGTGCATCCTGCTAACACTCTTTGTACCATAGACTGTACTGTGATAGAATCTAACAAACGTGCGACGACTGTTTCAAGGTTAACATGTGATGATCGTCCAACTTCTTCTGAAACGACTTCTCGGATCATTTGGTCAATCGTTGCCTGCAAATTTTCCTGAAAAAAAATATTTCATTAAGATTTTCAACTTAACACTTTGTTCCGCCCGGTTTGGCCTGGCACACTATCTCTAAGTTCAGCTCGACACTGCCCAGCAAAGGTCAAAGTTGGCCGGACGCTACCCATGAGCACTCCATCACTCTTCAATGTTTATATTATTTTCAGTTTTCTGACCTTATTTTCCCATACTATGTTGTTCATTTTAGTATCAAAATGTTGGCAATAGAATGTCGCACATTTTAAAACAAGTCCCATAATAATCGGACTATAAATTAATTGTTGAAAATTTTATTTATTTCAATATCAGCTAATAACATCATTGGCCAGCACCACCACACTCATGTTTATATTCTTTCCAGGATTCTGACATTTTTTATGCTACATCGTTCATTTTAGTATCAAATTGTTGGCATGAGAATAGCGTGCATTTTGAAACATGTCCCATAATAATCAGATAAATGGAATTGTTACAAGTATTTTATTTTGTTGAAGGTGTTAACATCAAGGCCGTAATCATGTGTATTTTTTAATGACTGCGAGAACATCATTACAGGAACAAAGTGTTAATAAGTTTACAAAATACTATACTGTACTAGTACATTATAACAATTTGCATGTTATTATGAATAAAGCCACTGATTCTGATTCTGTACATATTAATCTGAAAATTAATACTGCATGTTATAATTACTGTATTAGTATTATATGGGGAAGATACTATATCAATACAGTAATTTGAAAAATTATGATTTGCCTTAAATTCACAAACCCACACAAATTTTTGTTAATGATATACAAGATTTAAGTGTTGTGTGTTGCATCCTCAATAAGGCCAGTAGTTAGTGTAGGAGAATCTTGATTAGCCTAACATATTTGTTGTTCCCAACAATGTGAAACCAAATGAATCATAAAAGCAGATATATGACTATTATGTTAAGTCTGGTATAGCTTCCACTTCCACTTTCAGCTTCCACGATTTTGCTGTGAATGTACAGTATTCTCACTGGTTATTAACAAGAAACTATCAAAAGAAGACACCATTCTGGGAACACTATGCAGTACCATCTGGTTATGGTTCAGTTTTGAAAACTTACTGATTACAGTACTATATTGGCTTTAAATGTGGAATAATTATTGCAGAGAGTTTCTTCATATATCAGCATTTATTTGGATTAGGTTTGTTTCCTCAGCATTGACTACAGAATATCTTAAGTAATAGAAGATTTTGCTATCATTTATTTAGTTTTACACCACAAGAAAAGATCGATTTGTTTTAAGTAGCAAGGGATATTGACAACAGTTCACCCCTAACATTATTAGTTTGCTTTGAGAGGCATTTTTTGGGAGTGGGTAACAACATTGCAATTAACCCTTTAACTGCGCAACGCGCCTGCAGACCCACGTCTGAGGTGCGCTACGTGCCTCCGGGTATTTGTATTTTTCACGTTCCATTCAAAACTCCCGCCGCTACATAGGGTTCACATCAGCTTCCTCAGGGCTCTTGTAAACAGACACCATCTTTAAAAAAAATTGTGGTTCACATTCCCAGGTGTGAGAGCCTCAGTAGTGAGTGAGCAACCAAGGCCAACTCACTCAACTCAATTTTGTGTGCTCATGCCGCCCGCAGCATGAGCGCATAGCACTGTTGTTCAGCATGTGACCACAGCATTGCCTAATAATGTCAAAATATATATATAACCTGTATTATTTAGCCATGATAGTATTATAGAAGAGCCTGAGTGTGATAATGACTGGGTACAATGTTTAAATATCAGTGATTCAATGCTGTTCACGATGTTCACAGAGCTAGCCACAGCACCACAGCATTATTTCGCCCATCTAGGAATCTTCAAACGACTTCTTAGGTTCATTTTCAAAATAAACTTGTGGTCAATTATTCATTTACAGGAATTAGTGACCAGGATTGTGGTTATAATTAGCATTGTGCGTAGTATTGTGGAAGGAGGAATTTTGGTGAGGGAGGGAGGAAGGGAGAGAATTGAGGTAGCCTCACTATGTGTGGCAGCCACTCTTGTTTTGCTCACCATACTAGCTTCGTGGTTCGCTATGGGGAACACATATGTCCATGGGTATATATACAATGTGTGTGTATATAGTGTAATAACAGCAACAGGAGTATGTTGAGAGGAGCTATTTTGGTGAGGGAGGTGACATCGTAATCGTAGCGTCATCTGCTGTCTGCTGTGTGATTTCTCATACAGTGGCACCTCGACTTACGATTGCCCCTTCTTACGATAATTTTGAGTTACGATGTAAATTTCATCGAAAAATGCGACTCGACATCTGATGGTGTTGTCAACTTACGATATTTGTTGGTACACGTTCTGGTCGACCGAGCACGTGGTTCCCGGTCATGCGGCCGACCTGCCTCAGTTTACTACAACTGCCCGCTTAGTGACGATCGCGCCTATAAGAAATTTCGCTTTTGTGGTGATTTTTTTGCATTTTGAACATTAAAGTAATTATTATATATCATGCCATGAGTCCCAGGAATATCAGTAGTAAGGCTCAACATATGAGATCCCATGTAAGGATGACCATAGAGCAGAAATAAGAGATCATTCGTAAATATGAAGATGGTGTGCGGGTTGATGGACTGGCTAGGCAGTACAACAAATCTCAGTCAACGATATCCACCATACTGGCTAAGAAAAAGGACATTATGGGTGCTAAAGTGATGCATCATTACAGACAAATGTTAAAATGAAGGGAAAAACAAATGTCTTGACAAATTTGTAGTGAGACAAACAAGCACTGAACCACAACCAGGTCCTAGTGGTATTCAGGCAAAACGTAGGAGAGAGAATACCCCAGAGAAAACATCACTGCCTGAAGTGATATTGGAAGGGGACTCCCCTTCCAAACAGTAACAACTCTCCTCCTCCCCCCTCATCACCATCTTCCATATGCCATCAAGAGCTCTCCATAAAGGTAAGATAAACTTAGGTACTGTATTCTAGTTAGAAAAAACATTGTATTCAGTATAAAATGTATTTGTATACAGTATTAATATTTTGGAGGGTGAGGAATGGATTAATTCAAATCCCTTTATTTCTTATGGGAAAAATCACTTCGACTTACGATATTTCGACTTACGATCCGTCTCTGGGAACGGATTAGCATCGTAAATCGAGGCCCCATTGTACAGTGTATGGTGGCCACTGTACTGTTTGGACACAATACCGGCTTACTTGCATAGTTCTGGTTAATAAAACATGTAGATAAGTATATATAACATGTGTAAATAGTGTAATAAAAACAATAATAGTATGGTGGGAGGAGCAATGTTGGCGAGTAAGATGTTCGAGTGAGGGAGGGCTGGCTGGGTGTGGCTGCTCACACTCGCGGTGTTCTGAATGTGTTGATGGTGAATGTATATAGTGTGTGATAGTGTATAGTGTGTAAACAGATTGTATATATACATAAATTAGCATGATACATGGTAAATATGTGCAACATATGTGTACACAAGTGTCATGCACGTAACACAGTGTTTTCGGACAGTACGGATGTTTTACTGCCATAATATAGTGTACGTGTTCATTATACATAGGATTAGCACATAAAAACAAATAAAATGTATTTGGAACTGTGCGTAAAAATTGAACATAAATATATTCATAGCAACTCGCACGCCCCGCCCCAGGCACCCTACTGGCCCCAGGAGCATACGTCACGGGCGAACGGGGAATGATGACGTCACGCACCAACTTACAGACCCCATAACAGCCAAAGTAAGTACAATTTCGAAAAAAATTTGAAATACCCATACTGAGGGAAGGGGTTTTGACACTTTAAAAAACAAAAGAATTTTTTCCAGATACTGTAATATATTTCCTGCACACTGGGGGGGGGGTGTCATATTTGGAGGCGGCGTAGTTAAGGGGTTAAAATGCATTAATGTTGTTAATGATGTATGAAATATAGTATCTTTGGAAGCCAACTAATTTTTTTTATCCTAAATTAAGGAAATTAGTGCTTTGGTTAGGTAGGGTATGCATTGGCCATAAGATTCCAGCATTATCTAAAATAGATACTGTATTATATAATATACAAGTACTGTACTTACCTATATACTACAAAATATTATTTAAACACAAAGTTTTAAGGATTAATTTGAAAGATATCCATATTAAATTAATATAGCAATTCAAATTCAACTCCAATTTTGTCCTTTCCCATTGCATAATTAACTCTAATAAAATAATAAGACAGGGTGACTAAGAAGTGCTCTCAAAATTTATAATTATTTATGTACATACTACATTTGCACTTTACCTTTTCTATTTCACTTCTTACTACATCTTCCATTGCTCTTCTCTCTGCGTTTTCTTCAGCCATTCTTGCTGCTGGCTAATGTGATCATCAAATTCAAACAAAGAAAAGGAACATTACTGCCTTTGACCTTTCACCTTGATAAAGATGTTAACAAGATGAGTTGCTCCTCTATTTTCTGAATTCTGTATATTAGATTAGGTTATGTTGTGTTTGGCTTGGTAAAAACAATATTATGTTAGGTTAATGCAATCATTTTAGGTTAAGAGCAATTTGGAAAAAGAGCAACTTGATCTGAGAGCATGAACACCAAGGGCTGAACAACCAGCTCATTGACCCATAAAGAAACTTTGGTGCTTATTCTGTGCACATTAAAACCAAATTGGCAAGCTTTAGGTAACTCTGAAATAAGCAAATCTGCTATCAGTATATGAAAATATGATGCACCTGACATCTGTCTAAGTTGAGCTGACAGGGTTGTATTGTACTGTTGCATGATAATTACAGTGTGCTTCGAGGCTTTTTTTTATCTTGCTTCTTTATGATACTTAAGATTCTGTTAATTTTTTTTCAATGACCGCAAGAGATGGGTTCTAAGGTGATGCATCACTGTCGATGGTTAGGCAACACTTAATTACTCTGTCTTTTAGTTGATGTGAACACTTGAAAATGTAAGATGGATGTGTTGATGACATCACACATTTCCCTTCTTTTTCTGTTGCAATCATTACATTTTCTATTATTTTAAGATACTGTCAACTGCATGCATATGGTCAAATGCCTAATATGACATATCATCATTGAAGAACTTAAATAATTTCAGTATCGACATTCTTCTTGTAAGAGCTGTTTGCCAACTGATTTTTGTATGACCATTTATATTGATTAAGACAATCAAGTCTTTGTAAAGCATGTCTTACACTGAACATATATTCAACCTAACCTAGAGCTCTTAAATACATTGTTGTAGATTTATGTGCTAATTTTGTTGTTGTGATTCAGGGCCCACAATGACACAGGTGCCACATGTGCACCGGCACTCCCTTGTCGGCAAGTTTTCTGATAATCAAGGTACCCATCAATCCTTCCTAGGTAGAGCAGGGAATGTTGGTGTTGTTGCTGGTTGAGGGGGACGACGATCCAAGGATTGGGGTCCCCCGGGGCAACTGTTGTGTTTACGTTTTCGTTCGTGTAGTGAACGCTTAGTATCCGCCGCATACTTTAATTTAATTTATTTATGCACCCCATACCCACCCAGTGGGTGGTGGTGGAAAGGGTTACAGAGGCATATATATATATGGGTTCAGGAACTGAACCCCATAGTACGTTTAGCTAAACAAGTGACACTCTTACGAAGGGGATAGAGCTAACAACACTGCAAATCAGGCATGACAAGGCGGATCACATTGAAACTTTTAAAATACAAATTCAAACTCTAATTCAAATTTTTATTCAGGTACATACATAGAAGATGAGTTACAAACATAATGTTGGATTTATAGATACAGCTAGTATATACAATACCTAAAGCCACTAATACGCATAGCGTTTCAGGCAAGGTGTTGGGGAAAAACACTTAGGCTAAAACTTAATAGTAATTGTGATTAAAGTATAAATTGTATTGAAAAGGGAATAAAAAAAGGAAGGGAACATGGCAGAAATCGGCAAATATACAAGTTGGTCAACAAACAGCATTGTTTAAAATAGCAAGACATGGGTTTTCATTTAGGGGGTAAGGAAGGTTAAATGAAGTTTACTAGGTAATACTTAGTTTTTATCTTAAACTGGTTGAGAGTTTATGTCATCCAATCATCACTTTGCCTTTGATTGGGAAGGTCATTCCACATTCTGGGTCCCTTGATTTGTAGAACATTTCTAGTTTGGTTAAGTGGCACTCTTTGAATATCAAATAGGTATTTGTTTCTGGTGTGGTGCCCACGGGTTCTGTTACAACCTTCTAGGAAGCTTTTAAGGTCAGGATTGACATTACAGTTCAGAGTTTTATATATATACAGTACACATCAGTGGATGTGCAGTGACTTAATATCTAACATATTCAAAGATTTGAGTAAGAGAACCGAGTGCTGTCTGGGGCCAGAGTTAGATATTGTTCTAATAGCAGATTTGTGTTGAGTAATTAGAGAACGTAGATGATTTTGGGTAGTAGAACCCCAAACACAAACACCATAATTGAGATAAGGATAGATCAGAGAGTAATAGAGCAATACTAGGGCAGAGCGAGGTATATAATATCTGATCTTAGAAAGAATGAAAACAGTTTTAGAAACTTTTTTTGCTATATTTTGAATGTGGCCCTGGAAATTCACTTTGTTATCAAATTCAAATTCAAAATCAAAATCAAATTATCGATGAGAACACCAAGAAATTTACCATCTACTTTGTTACTAATTTGGATATTGTTTATTCTTAGAATAATTTGATCTGAGGATTTATTATCAAACAAAATATAGAAGCTTTTTCAATGTTAAGGGTGAGTTTGTTAGAAGTTAACCAAAGATAGACTTTATTTAGTTCAGTATTCACTGTATCAATCAGAGTATAAGCGGGTTAGGATTTGAGAAAATGAAGGTTGTGTCATCAGCAAATAAAATTTTGCTCACCCTTAACATTGACAAAACTTTCTATATTTTGTTTGGCAATAAATCCTCTAATCAAATAAATCTCAAAATATACAATACCCAAATTTGTAACAAATTAGATGGCAAATTCCTTGGCATTCTCATTGACCACAAGCTGAATTTCCACGGACACATTCTAAATATATCAAAAAAAGTTTCAAAAACTGTTGGCATTCTTTCTAAGATCAGAAATTATGTACCCCGCCCTGCCCTGGTGACTCTCTATTACTCCCTCATCTATCCATATCTCAACTATGGTATTTGTGCTTGGGGTTCTACTACCCAAAATCATTTACGTCCTCTAATTACTCAACACAAAGCTGCTATTAGGACAATATCTAACTCTGGCCCCAGACATCACTCGGTACCCCTACTCAAATCTCTGAATATGTTAGATATTAAGTCACTGCACATTCTCTCATGTGTATTATACATATATAAAACGCTGAACTGTAATGCCAATCCTGACCTCAAAAGCTTCATAGAAGGTTGTAACAGAACCCATGAGCACCACACCAGAAATAAATAGTTTTGATATTCCTAGAGTACGACTTAATCAATCTAGAAATGCTCTTCAAATCAAGGGACCTAGAATGTGGAATGACCTTCCCAACCATGTTAAAGACTGTACCTCTCTCAACCAGTTTAAGATAAAAACGAAGCTATACCTAATAAATTCCCTGTAACCTACCTTACCCCTTTATTGTCAACCCATGTCTGTTTTTTTAAATGACGCTGTTTGTCGACCGAATTGTATTTGTGCTGCTTTTCAGCCATGTTTCCCCTTTTTATCTCTTTTTTTTTATTTGTTCTCAACTCATTTTATTCTTTATGCTCAATTAATATTAAGCTTTAGTCATTTAAGTTTTTCATGCCCGAAACGCTTTGCGTAATAGTGGCTTTAGGCATTGTATGTACTAGCCCTATCTATGAATCCATCACTCTTTGTAAAATCTCTTGTATGTATGTACCTTACCTAAATAACATTTGATTTGATTTGATTTGATTTGAAATTTGGTTGAGGTGTTAAGAGCCATTTGGAAAGTCATTAATGTAGATGAGAAAGAGGAGAGGGCCAAGTATGCTGCCCTGTGGAACACTAATTCCCAACACCTCAAACCAATTCTATTTGCTGACGACACAACCTTCATTTACTCCAGTCCTGATCCCCTTGCTCTAAATGCCACAGTAAATATTGAGCTAAATAAAGTCCATCTGTGGCTAACTGCCAACAAACTCACCCTTAACATTGACAAAACCTTCTATATTCTGTTTGGCAATAAATCCTCTAATCAAATAAATCTCAAAATAAACAATACCCAAATTTGTAACAAATTAGATGGCAAATTCCTTGGCATTCTCATTGACCACAAGCTGAATTTCCAGGGACACATTCTAAACATATCAAAAAAAGTTTCAAAAACTGTGGGCATTCTTTTTAAGATCAGATATTATGTACCACGCCCTGCCCTGGTGACTCTCTATTACTCCCTTATCTATCCATATCTCAACTATGGTATTTGTGCTTGGGGCTCTACTACCCAAAATCACTTACGTCCTCTAATTACTCAACACAAAGCTGCTATTAGAACAATATCCAATTCTGGCCCCAGACATCACTCGGTACCCCTACTCAAATCTCTGAATATGTTAGACATTAAGTCACTGCACATTCTCTCATGTGTATTATACATATATAAAACGCTAAACTATAATGCCAATCCTGATCTCAAAAGCTTCATAGAAGGTTGTAACAGAACCCATGAGCACCACACTAGAAATAAATACAGTTTTGATATTCCTAGAGTACGACTTAATCAAACTAGAAATGCTCTACAAATCAAGGGGCCCAGAATGTGGAATGACCTTCCCAACCAACTGTACCTCTCTCAACCAGTTTAAGTTAAAAGCGAAGCTATACCTAATAAATTCCCTGTAACCTACCTTACCCTTCTATTTGTCAACCAATGTCTGTTTTTTCTTTAAAGAGCGCTGTTTGTCGACATAATTGTATTTGTGCTGCTTTTTCATCTATGTTTTAATTTCTTGTTTTCATTCTACTCATTATGCTCAATTAGTATTAAGCTTGTCATTTAAGTTTATCATGCCCGAAACGCTTTGCGTAATAGTGGCTTTAGGCATTGTATGTACTAGCTCTACCTATAAGTCAACCAATCCTTGTATAAATTTTTTGTATGTATGTACCTTACCTAAATAAAATTGTATTGTATTGTATTGTATTGTATAATGTTGATGGGTAGGGTGGGAGAGATGGAATTATTCACAGAAACATACTGGAGCCTGTCACTAAGGTGAGACTGAAGGTATTGGAGAGAGTGACCTCTGACTCCATAATAATGAAATTTAAGAAGATTGTGGTGGTTGACAGTGTCAAAAGCCTAACGGAAGTCAACAAATAACCCAACAGGAAACTCATTTTTATCAAGAGCTGCATGTATCAAGTTAATCATACTAATCAGTGCATCGTTAGTGCTCTTTTTGGGTCTGAAGTCATATTGGCAAGCGCTAAGTATATTGTGTTTGGCTAGATGGCAAAAAAAAAAAAGATAAGAGATTGCTGCTTGTAGATTAGCTTTTCAAATATTTTTGACAAGGTTGACAGGATTGATATAGGTCTGAAGTTGTTGACATCAGTGAGATCACCACATTTGTGGACAGGGGTTACTCTCGCCTTTTTGGAATATCTGGAAATGTTTGGAGTTCAAGTGACTTGTTGAAGATCAATACAATAGCAGGGGCTAAAGTTCTGGAGGCTTTTTTGTAAATTAAAGTTAGTATCTCCTCAAGGGCACTAGACTTGGTTTTAAGGGAAAGGATCTTCTCATTAACATCTGTGGAATTTGCAGGCGTTAGGTACAGAGACTGTGGATAGTTACCTGTAAGATAGTCCTGAACATCAGTAATGGAAGATGAAATATCATTTGCAAGGGATGACCCAATGGAAGAAAAGAACCTATTGAACTCAATAGCAGTATAAGAGGCTGTAAGCTGACCATCGTTATTGGACAGGAGTATTGGTTTGTTATTTAAAATCTTCTTCGGAGCACAATCTTCACAAATAATATTTGTGAAATTGTGCTCCGTGTTTTCTTAATGTTACCCTTTGTTTGGGTAAATTTATCTTCGTAGTATTTAATTTTCGCTCTTCTAATTATTTTAGATTGCAATGATGAGTAATTCTTTGGAGACGATTCCCTAACCTATACGTCTTCTCAAGGTCATATTTTTTATTAATTAATTAATTTATTTATTTGTTTATTTATATATATACAAGAAGGTACATTGGGTTTGTGAGAATACATTGGATAGTACAGTATTTACATTCTTGCAAAGCCACTAGTACGCGCAGCGTTTCGGGCAAGTCCTTAATCTAGCAGATAATAATTGATAATTAATTATAAACAGATAATTAATTGATTTAATTGATATAAACAGATAATTAATGGATTTAAGTATTCCATTTGTAAGCCAAGGATTGTTTAGCGTTTTAGTTGTAACTTGTTTCGTTAGCATAGGACAGTGGGTGTTATAATGGCTGAGAGTTTATTGAAGAAAAAGATTGCACTGCTAGGCTGATGTCCCCTATGTTACTTAATTCAGACTCCCAGTTGACATTAGCAGCAGCAGCTATAAAATTGCCTATAGCAGTTTCATTGTGCAGCCTAAAGCTTATCTCCCTTGTCTCTAGTTTGGTGGTTTGTTAATGTTGGTTAGGAGAAATATGTGGAGTAATGGTCTGTAGTGCTATCAATGATTATCCCTGAAGTAAGCGGAGAGGTTCTTAAATGCAAACCATGCTCTGAAACTCTCCCTGGACAGATGTTTTAGACTACAGATGTTTTTAGACTACACAATGAAACTGCTATAGACAATTTTATAACTGCTACTGATAATGTCAACTGGGAGTCCGAGTTAGGTAACATAGAGGACATCAACCTAGCAGTGCAATCTTTTCTTCAAAAAACTCTTAGCCTTTATAATACCCACTGTCCTATGCTTAAAAAACAAGTCACAACCAAAAGGCTTAACAATCCCTGGCTTACAAAGGGAATACTTAAATCTATTAATAAAAAACATGACCTTGAGAAGAAGTATAGGTTAGGAATTGTCTCCAAAGAATTCTCAAAGAATTACTCATTATTGCTATCTAAGATAATTAGACGAGCCAAAACTAAATACTACGAAGATAAATTTACCCAAATAAAGAGCAACATTAAACAAACTTGGAGAACACTTTCACAAATATTGGGATCAAAGAAGTCTTTAAATAACTAACCGACTCTCCTGTCTAATAACGATGGTCAGCTTTCAGCCTCTGATTCTGCTATTGAGTTCAATAGGTTCTTCTCTTCCATTGGTTCATCCCTTGCTAATGATATTCCATCTTCCAGTACTGACATTAAGGACTATCTTACAGGTAACTATCCACAGTCTCTGTACCTAAAGCCTATTAATTCCACTGACGTCAATGAGATAATCCTTTCCCTTAAAACCAAGTCTGGTGCCCTTGAGGAGATACCAACTTTAATCTACAAAAAAGCCTCCAGATCTTTAGCCCCTGCTATTGCTTTGCTCTTCAACAAGTCACTTGAACTCCAAACCTTTCCAGATATTCTAAAAAAAGCGAGAGTAACGCCTGTCCACAAATGTGGTGATCTCACAGATGTTAACAACTACAGACCTATATCAATCCTGCCAAACTTGTCAAAAAATTTTGAAAAACTAATCTATAAGCAGCTTTACTCATATCTAGCCAAACTCAATATACTTAGCCCTTGCCAATATGGCTTCAGGCCCAAAAAAAAGCACTAACGATGTACTTATTAGTATGCTTAACTCGATTCATACAGCTCTTGATAAAAATGAGTTCCCTGTTGGGTTATTTGTGGACCTGCGTAAAGCTTTCGATACTGTCAACCACCAAAACCTTCTTCTTAAATTACATAATTATGGTGTCAGAGGACACTCCCTACAATACCTCAAATCCTACCTTACTGACAGGCTCCAATGTGTTTCTGTGAATAACACAATTTCTCCCACCCTACCCATCAACATTGGTGTTCCCCAGGGCAGCATACTTGGCCCTCTCCTCTTTCTCATCTACATTAATGACCTTCCAAATGCCTCCCAACACCTCAAACCAATTCTATTTGCTGACGACACAACCTTCATTTACTCCAGTCCTGATCCCCTTGCTCTAAATGCCACAGTAAATACTGAGCTAAATAAAGTCCATCTGTGGCTAACTGCCAACAAACTCACCCTTAACATTGACAAAACTTTCTATATTCTGTTTGGCAATAAATCCTCTAATCAAATAAATCTCAAAATAAACAATACCCAAATTTGTAACAAATTAGATGGCAAATTCCTTGGCATTCTCATTGACCACAAGCTGGGAAGGCTATGTAACACTAAGGACAAGAAGCCGGTGGCTTGTCAAAGGTCCCCTTGGATAATGTAGGGGATATGAGGTTGAATGCCCCACACCGAGGTTACTACAATCCTGTTTCCAACAAGTTTCTTGACTGAGTATTTTTATTACAATTTGTTGTTAAAATAAGGCTTTACTGTACTACATTATGTATTATGCTGCAATGTGACTCGTTAATAACTTAAATGCAAGATATAGTAAATGAAGTGCTTTTACATTTAACTAGAAAATGCACTAGAATTTGAGGACGTGGTCCAAAATCAGAATCATTAAACAAATCCTCTTCATTCACAGATGCATAACAACAATTCTGAGTGCAACTTACTTTTGAAGCAGCTCTCTCATCTGAGTTCCCTGACCCTCCGAATCAATCACCTGCTGAGGTTGTGGGTATTGGTGATTGTGTCTATTATGTTGAAGGTGGGCTGATGTCTGAACTGGACTACTGCTCGGGTTACCAGAATGGTGAAGAGCATGGGAATCGTGGGGTAGGGCAGATGTAACAATCTCAGAAGAGGCTTTAGGGCCACCAGAACGAACCTGTATGTGCTCATCAGCAGCAACCAACTTATGATGCATTTCCTCCATGGCAGTGCGAAGTGCAAGGATTTCTTGCTCATACTGGAATAATATAATTATTTTTACAGAATGCAGTGTACAGCAATGACTAAAATACTGTACCACTAAAATGAACTCTAAACATTATATTGAACTTTTGTCATTTTATATGCAATTTGATATGCATTTTATATAAATTTTATATGTACAGTAATACTAACCTCATCAAGAGTTTTGGTCTCAGATACCCTATGGTTTGTGTGAGTGGGACGAACTCGAGCAGGTGGGGGTGGTTGTTCATCACTGGACGAGTCACTGTCATACTGATACCGTTGTCGCCTCCCACTGCCAACTTCTGCAGACTGGCGACGATTCACTTTTGATCTTCGACACTGTGCCCCTCCTAGCAGATCTGATGTAGAATGGTGGTGATCAGGAGCTACACCAGGTACCACAGTCGGCTGACCCCATCCAGGAGGTAAGCATCGAGGGTTGGTTCGAGGAGCACCCGATTTGAATGTCCTGTGCTCTAGCGGTGGTGTGCATGCCAGTGATGTGCTATCTTCACTCGATGATGAATGGGTACGCTGGGGAGCACGTGCCGAGGACAAACTAGGAGCCATCATTGGGGCAGACTGCAAATCCTCAACACTGTGTGTAGAACTGAGAGAAGAGCTCACTGGGCTTTGCTGCTGCTGTGCACTTTGGTGTAAATGATGGTGGTGATGGTGAGACAGACGAACTCCGCGATGTGGGACAGGTCGTGGAGAGCTAGTCGCAGCATTGAGGTGATACATAGGGTTGTTAAAAGCCAAAGGAGCTGTCAACTGTGGAGTCATATGAGGTGATAAGTGCATTCCACCACTGTTGTTACTACTAGTACTACTACTGTTCCCTGCTACATTAGTATTATTATTATTTGCAGCATCATGGTGAGTTATTGATGGATCCACTGGGCTAGAGGACTGACTATATGCAAAACTTTGGTATCCTGAGGATGCTACATTAGACAGCTGAGAAATTGAGGTTTGTGAACCCTTCATATTTGTTTCAGTTTCACCAGTAGAATTTCTATCATTTTCTTCACGGCTGATGTCTAATGGCTCTTCAGGATTTCCATTTGACACCATGTGACCATTTTGATGAACTTGTCCATGGCCATTCATTTGTGGGTGGTCACTGAACATTTGTCTGTTGTTGGTGAACCATGCAGCATGATTGTGGAAGTGGTGATGATGTAAATGACTGTGGTTATGAACTGGAGATGTATTCTGAGCTGGGCCAGGGGCAAGATGACTGTAACTGTGACCTATAGCACTGGGTTCTCTGTGCTTTCTGTCAGGTTCTAAGGCAGAAAACAAAACATAGTCATCTGCTGTATTTAGGTCAATGGCTGGCTTGCGAGCCGAGCCCATCAGATATGTGTTTCTTGGCAGAGTGGAGGGGCGTGGAGTGGATGGAGTGTCTGGAGGAAGCTGGAGATGATTTACGGGTGGTGGAGCTACAGGCCTATATTCTTCACTGACAGTAGGGTCATTGTATCTGAAAATATTTCTCTGGAGAGACTGGTAGCCAAGTCTATCTTCCATTCTTCCATTCTCAGGAGATGTTGGGTCTGAAATTGGAATTTCAGGTGGATTATGAGAAGAGAGTTGTTGCACAATATTAATATTTGGTTGAGTTTGAGCAACACTAATCTCATCAAGGATTTGACGTAACTTGTCTAGGAAACGCTGCTGAGACACACTGATATTGGTTTTGGAGGTAGATGATGATAACTTTCTCAAGGCTTCGGTAAGGAAAGTATGTAACAAGGACATCTCTCTCCCAACGTCAATGTCTTTGTCATATTCCAGTGCTCTGTGGTCGTGATTTGCTGGACTCGAGATCTGCTTCAAAAATGATTTCATCTGAGATTGTTCTAGTTCAATAAATTCATTCATAAACTCCATGAAGTTTTCTTTGCCTTGAAATTTTGTAAAGTTAGCAAGTGTCTGAAGAGTTTTGGCGATTTGAGTGAGATTTCTGGAGGTCCTTTCATCTGGGTATTCTTGTGTTATATTAAATAATGAAGGAGACAGGATAGCAGGACACAGAAATCTTAGGAAAATAGATGCCGAGATCAGGTTATCGCTTAGATTTTGCTTTCCAATGGTGGCTAAACGTTCTCGATACATACAGAAACATTCCCTAAGCTCCAAGGAAAAATATGGATGGGAATTAAGGATTCGGGACCATGTCATGCGTACAATAGACAAGAGATTTTCTTGTTGCTTCTGTAATGATGATATCTGTGGCACCTTCATGGGATCAACCTGCAAAGATACAAGTGAAGTACATCAGCTGCAGCCATAAACATTCCTTATATATTTATGTTAGTTTTCTGGTTAGAGTTCAAGTGAAAATGAAGAGCTAAATGATTAAGTTGGGAAGTGAACTTTCACTTGTTTCCCAAAAGCTGGAGAATGTATTCCCTAAAATTGACCTGACCCAATTGACCCAAAATGGAACCATTTATACAACACATGATCAAGGAAAATACTGCAAAGTCACTCATGATTTGTGAAAGAACATGTATACCGTATAAATAAAAATTCAAGATACAATGGGTCATGTTATCAAAGATTTTGATGATTAAGTAATGCCTATATTCAACCTGCACAGTTGAAAATACAGTAATGTAAATTTACAGTTACAAGAGTAATTACTTTTAAGTGTTGAAATGTAGAGGGTAAAGGCTTATACTACGCATGTCGCACGGGATCTTAGATTAGTCATGCTAGCTGTCTAGCGGCCACTGCTAGTACACATGGTTAGAAAGAATTCACGAGGGCTGTCTATAAATACTTTTAAAGATTACCGCGTTTGCATCATGGAACCAACCAAATGTCATAACACTAATGATTTGAAAAGTACCAAAACAAGGAAAATTGAGGTAATCTTAATGCTGCAAATAAAACTTGAAATATTACAGAAACAGAAGAATGGTGAGTTTGCTCCAGGATACCACCACCATGTCAAAATTTCAAATCAGTCACAGATTTTTGTTTACAGTTTGCTTAATTTTTCAATTGCCCTAACTACTACTGAGTGGTATTCTGGTCTGCTCAGGTAATTTTTTAATTAGATTGAACCTGCATTTATACCTGTATGGGGTTCCGAGAGTTCTTCTACTCCCCAAGTGTAACAAACTAGGCTGGTTGTAAGAATTATCCAGAATGGTTTATCGACAAAAGAGAATGGGAAGCTGGACCCGCGTGGTGACCCGGGACCTGACCCCAGGGAATTCGCGGTGAAAATAATGGCGGACATCTTTGTTCATAGTTTTGTATAATGAACCATTCTATAGTATTCACTTATTTAGAGAAATTAGCCGTTATTCATTTTGTATTAAAATGGTATTGTATAATATTATTGGGTACAATATCAAGAGTATTCTAATTATTGAGTTAAGTCACCATCAGTGACGTTACGAACCAGATCTAAGTTGTAAGGTGGAGTGACCTGGCGGTCGTAGGTCATCAGAGTTGACATGTCCACTATTTCTCAAAGTTCAAATAACCATTTTGGGGATCCGGAACAGCTCTGCCGTTAGATGCTTGTGTAATTTAACTTCAGTAAAATAATTCAACCAGTCTGGATCAATTAAGTACAACAGAGGTTAATTGTTATAACTTAAACCTTGCTAAGTAACTTGGTAAGCGATGCGGAACAATACTCTGCTCTGGGCTCCTGGAGCATCAGAGAGAGGACAGATTAGTGTGGATTGAGAAACAACTCGGGCAGGTGGCCTTACCATCTTCGGCCCCCGACAGCACGAACATCTAGCTGGTCGCCCAAGGTAGAGTTGCTTTATGAGTTCTTATAGGGATAGGTCAATTCATTGCCGTTCAGGTCAATTAGGGAGTGTTCAAGTAGGGAGTGATAACCATTTAGATTTTGTTTTAGTTTTTCTTTTAATAAATTAATAGCTAGTAAATCTGCATTTTCATTATTTCCATGTGTATGTTATATGAATGTGAATTTGTCCTGGTCACGTGGTCTACACGAGGCAGAGTTGAATTGGGCGCCGATTCTAACATCGAATCGGAATTCATCATTCCCGTTAAAATTAATTCCTCACTTCAGATCTTAAAGGGTATCGGTTATAGTGGGGATCAAGCCCCAAGGTTGATTAATTAGCATGATCGATCCAGACCTCGATCATTGCTCAGTGTTACTGGTCTGGTGGTGGCCGCGGAGGCGACTCTAGGGTTTTGCTCAAAGCCTAGGTCACGTCATACGGGTTGTAGAATCCTAAGTCGGTCAATCGTCTTAGGACCACGTGGCGTGGAGTCGGCTTTAGTAAAAGTTTTGGGGTCCCTTAGTATAGAGAACAAAGTAAGAATACAGGTAGAGGGGGAAAAGAGGAGGAAAGGATAATTCGAGAACACCCTCCCCGTGTTACACAAGCACGACCCGGGGCCACGCTTGACTTTTAAGAGCTTGGCCCAACAGGCTGTTGCTTGGAGCAGCCAGCTCCAAGCAGCTCGGTCCGGCATGTCTTTAAGAAAACTGTCCATTTTCTTTTAAAGATGTCCACATTTGTTCCGGTAATATTTCTTATGCTCGCTGGGAGGATGTTCAACAACCATGGACCTCAGATGTTTATACAGTATTTTATGATTGTGCCTATGGCACCTCTGCTCTTCACTGGTTCTATTCTGCATTTCCTTCCATATCATCCACTCCAGTGTGGTGTTATTTTACCGAGTTGATCTCGGACCTGGCCCTCCAGTATTTTCCATGTGTATATTATTTGATACCTCTCTAGTCTCCTTTCTAGGGAGTAAATTTGGAGAGCTTTGAGACGATCCCAATAATTTAGGTGCTTTATCTTGTCTATATAAGCTGTGTATGTTCTCTGTATTCCCTCTATTTCAGCAATCTCTCCTGCTCTGAAGGGAGGAAGTGAGGATAAACCAATACTCAAGATGGGACAGCACAAGTGATTTGAATACTTCATCCATTGGGATGGTGATCCGTGGATTTGCAGATTCATATAATCCATCCTATCATCTTTCTGGCCGAGGCTATATATGCTTGGTTCTATCATCTTTCTGGCCGAGGCTATATATGCTTGGTTATGCTCCCTAAACATTAGGTTGTCAGACATCATTATTCCCAGATCCTTTACATCCTGCTTTCCTGCTATGGGCAGATTTGATTGTATTTTGAACCCTGTATTTTGTTTGTCGTCATATTTACCTTACCCGAGTACCTGGAATTTATCACTGTTAAACATGTTATTTTCTGCTGTCCAGTCTAAAACTTCATTTATATCTGCATGATGTTTTATCACTATCTTCAACAGAAATAATTTTCATGCTTATTTTTGTCATCTGCAAAAGATGATACAAAGTTGTGACTTGATACAAAAAGTTGAGTTTTTGTCTACATCCGATATAAGAATAAGGAAAAGCAGTGGTGAAAGGAATGTACCCTAAGGTAAAGAACTTTTAACTGCTCTTCAACTCTATTTTATTTGGTTGACTGTTACTGTGTGTGTTCTGTATGACAGAAAACTGAATATCCACTGTTCTACTTTACCTGATATTTCCATTGACCTAATTTTGTGTGCTATCACTCCATGGCCACATTTATCAAATGCCTTTGCGGAGCTCATGTACTGTATACCAAATCTACATTTCGTGTTTCTTCTAATGCCTTAGTGATTTTGTCGTAGTGGTTAAGTAGCTGTGAGAGGCATGATCTTCCCACTCTAAATCCATGTTGGCCTGAGTTGTTGAGGACATTGGTCTCCATGAAAGTTGAGGTCATTGGTCTCCATGAAACTGAAGACCCGACTCCTATCACTATCAAAGGCTATTATTATGTGGGACGTTAGTGCAACCGGTCTATAATTCTAAAGGCAATGGTCTGCATCCTTTCTTGTGCAGAGGAGCTATGTCTGCTGCTTTAAGTGCATCTGGTATCTCCCCCGTGTGCAGGCTTTTCCTTTACTCTGTACCGAGTGCTTGTGCTACTGGCACTTTGCATTTCTTTATAAATATTGAATTCCATGAGTCTGGACCCAGGTCTGAATGCAAGGACATGTTGTCAGTTTCGCTTCCAAAATCTTCAAAGTTTGTGTTGATGTCAGATATATTTTCAGGGGTTTGAATATCATGCATAAAGAAGCAGCTCGAATCATTCACTTTCATGCTAAACTTATCCCCCATACTGCTTTTTAGGATTTCACTAATTTCTTTGTCATCCTCTTTGTATGAACCTTCACTTGTAGAAATAGGTCCAACATTAACAGTGGTTTTGGCTTTTGATTTGGCATATGTGGATTTTTTTCTTTCTTTATCTCTTGTATGGCTTTCTGTTCTAAATGCATTTCTTCAATCTGATATGAATGAAGAAATTTAGCAGAGACTGAAGCAATCTCCCCATTTAAATTATTCCTTCTTTGTAGGGATAGTAATTTCTGTTATTTTTTTCCTTCATTTACATATAGTGCTGTCTGTGTTTTCTTTCTATGTTGGTTGTGCTATTCCTCGTTTGTGATTTTTATTATCTAGAACAGTTTTCCATTGAATGTTTATAAGTTCCCTGTCTATTTTTTCCCAACCAATCCATATATTATTGAAAATTAATTTATTGAATAACCCCTCTCACTTGATCATTGTTTTAGGCCTATTACGAGGTTATCTTGAGATGATTTTGGGGATTAGCGTCCCCGCGGTCCGGTCCTCGACCAGGTATTTTTATTACATGTCCCCAGGAAGCAGCCCGTAGCAGCTGCCTAACTCCCAGGTACCTATTTACTGCTAGGTAACAGGGGCATCAGGGTGAAAGAAACTTTGCTGGTTAGTTTCTGCCTCCACCGGGGATCAAACCTGGAACCTCAGGACTACGAACCCGAAGCGCTGTCCACTCAGCTGTCAGGCCCCAGACAAGTATTGATGTTAGTTTGCACTTCAATGAGCTTGTGATCTGAATACGTGGTATCTGTGACTGCAATGTTCCTGATTATATCTTCAATGTTTGTGAAGATCAGATCTAGAATGTTTTCATTCATAATTGGCTCTGTTATCTGCTGGTTGAGTGAAAATGTGTCACAGAACCAAAATAGTTCTCTAATCTGTGGTTGATTATGTCCAGGTAGATATCCTGGTAATGTATATTATTATTATTTGCTATTCTCCATCTTAGACTAGCCAGGTTGAATTCACCTAGGAAGATAACATCAGGTATTGGTTTGCCAGATTATCGAAGGCAAATTTTCTATTTTGTTTATCTGTTCTGTCAATTCCTCAGCCGATGTATCTGGCAGTTTATACATTAGAATAATCATATATTTTCTCTATTTTTCCTCCAGTGCCTCTATCACCTCATTTGTAGTTAAAGAGCTCCGAGCATACTCCTCTCTAATATACAAACCTACTCCTCCAAGTGATTTATTTACCCTATCACAGCTATATAGATTATATTCTAGCATCCAGATCTCAATGTCCAAGAATTCACCTGCAAAGGTTTCTGTGAAAGCTCCAAATATTGCATTTAACTCGAGGAGGATGCTATTTATGAATAGTACTTTATTTTTTGCTCGTGTTTTAAGTCCTTGTAAGTTGGCAAAGATGAATGAGGTTACTCTGTTTGGGGTAATTTGACTGGGAGACTTTTCTGGCAGGTCCATTATGTTCGGATTTGTTCTGACCAGTACTGAATGTTGCAGTGTTCTTGCCTCCTATTTGTTCTGTAGTGGGGTGTAATTGTATCTGTGATTTTGGTATGTAAGTGGGTCTTTCAGCCCGTTCCATACATTCTGTCTCTTCCATCTTTTAATCTCTCTTTCTTCTGGGTATAAAAATTATTTAACTTTCCTCCAAAGACATTTTCTTGTTTGCCACTCTTTATGTAGCATTCTGTACCTTTCACATCAAAGTATGGGCAGCTGAGGTCATAGCATCTTATTTCCTGGAATGAGGTTTTCCACATGTCAGAATGAAAAACTTGCATGTTGATCCAAAGCAACATTTTCCTTTCCTAAGTATATTTACATTTTCTGGGATGGTGGTAGCTGCCTTCTAATCCCTTTCTATTTCCAGAATATCTATGTCTGGAACCCATGTTGTCCAGGGTTATGTAGACATTGTGATTCCATGTGTTTTGTGTGACCTTTACTCTTAAACAGGTCGTTCTTCGTCCTCCTTTTGTTGCTTTATGGTAATCCTCTTTTGTACAATGATTCTGCTAAGCTTTTGGGGTTAATCTGGCCAAGGTGCAGTCCTACATCATGTTAGTGATGTAGGATGCTAGAGTTAGGAATGCTTAATGTGAGCACTTCAATGACGTCATGCAACAAAGGTAAACAGGACATGTGTGAGCAAATGCCCTTCCAAATGGTCCAAATACAGTACATAGAACTTGCAAATGTATGTCCTCATCTCTCTCTATAGAGGTCTGTTGTAGTGTCCGTATCTATCGAACTATCAGTGTTGTCTGCTACACCTTCTCTATTATCATCTTTACCCGGGCATACTGAATGAAAATTTACAACTTCCTGAATTTCTAATTCAGTTTCCTCCCTGTCTTGTCCTGAATTGACTAGACAGGGAGGAATAATAATAATAATAATACAGCGATAATGGTTTGGGAGCGTTGGTTCCCATCCCATTATTACTAGTATTTGTTTCCCATTCTTCCTGAATGTCTGGTAGGCTCTCAATGAAATCTTTTGATCATACATCATGGTTTCTAGAAGTTGTTTTAATATATTCCAAGTTGGCAAATCATTGTTGCATACCCAGAATAAATGTCCAGCTTTTAGGTATGCTGTGCTGCTTACATTCCACAAGCCAAGTGGAATCTATTTTTACATATATAACATGTAATTCCCATTGCATCCCTCATGGTCTCTTCATGTACATAATTAACAGCCATGGATACATGACGTACACTTTCCATACCCCTACAATAATATCAAACTAATCTCTCCTTATCCTACATCATTCTCACAGATGCTCTACTTCCCACATCAAAGCTCTTCACATGATTTAATAACATTCCACCAACCTTGATTTATGCTCTCTTGGAGTCTATAGATGCCATATACACAATCATCTCTCTCTACTAGCTGTCTCTTCCACTACAAAGCACATCTTGCTGATCATTGTCTAATTTCTCCATTATATCTAGTACTCTTCCAATCACCATTTTCCCACACTCTTTGTCCACTCATTTAGAAGACCGACTACTTTCTACTCTTGAAATTTTTCACCTTGCCTACCTCAAAGTTAACTTTATTTTCTGACACAGATTTAGGAATACTGTACTGTATAGTAGCAGTGTATTCCAAATAAATTTTATACAAATGTTTTCTTAATTTGAATGAAAGACATTTTAAAACACATAACGGAAATACTGTATGCTGAAAACTTGCAGCTTTGGTGAAAGACTGCCAATATATATACAGATTGTAGAAATTATTAAAATTAATAACTAACACTCACCTCGCAATCAAGTCCAGCTTCTACAACTTTGTTGATGACCTGCCGTAATGTGTCGAGGAGGTACTTGCTGCCCACAAGCTTCATGAAAGCCTCCATAGCTTTTGTTGCCAATGAATTACCACGAAACAAGAGATGAGAATCGTCTGAAAATTTTACAAAATAATTAATATACAGTATAGTATATTCATAAAATTTAATATACAGTAATAACATAATACAGTAACTGCAAAGAACATAATTAAAAACAGATGCTCAATAAATTTACAGTGAAATATACAGTATTGGTGGAAATCATTAATAATAAATTACATATTAAACTCAAAATGGTATGAGTGTGTGAGTTATGTCTATCACCCACTACTTAGTGGAACAGCCCTACACCCATTATGAGGGCTGATGAGATGGTTTACAACTAATCTTATCCCCTCTGAAGACTAAAACAATCTCTAATCTGGGCCACAAGCTTGCCCGAGTCTCTTCAAGGGAAAAGCAAATGGCTGCGTGGAAAGAAAACAAAAAGGGATAAATAAGGAACAGATGTGTGACATTATAAAAAATTTGTAGATGGAAGGTTTGACAGACAGTACAGTACTGTACTTGGTTTATGTTAAAGATGATAGGATCAGAAAATAATGGGAAGGATGGAAAGACTAATGACAGGAATGAAAGAAAAACCAAAGGAAGGAAGGTATATGCTTGTTAACACTTTCGCGCTCTTAGCGCTCAAAAAAAAACAATACCCCAGATGCTTTCGGCACTTCGCGCGCCTACGCGGTAAGACCGAAAAAGTGTACAATCTTTTGACTGTCCTGACAATAATTGAAGGCGCACGTATTTAAATTTGGTATCACTGTGTTCGCAATGAAATTGTCTATAAGAGCATACCTATAAAATGCCGCCCAAGCATAAGGAGTATCAACACCAAATAAAAAACTATGCAGATCACTCGCTGAGAGCGCCAAACAGCAACAAAATGTTTCCACTCTCTTAATGGTTGCGAAGCCTACAGTTGTCCTACATCGCTAATTTTGGTATCATTGGAATCGCAATAAAATTCTCTACACGGACATATGCATATGAATGTTTAATATAGGTAATTGCCCACCCGCAAGAGTGTGTGAAGTGGAGAGTAGTTAGCCGCGAGCGCTCTGGCGAAAACACAGGGGGGGGAATCATGCTTGGAAAGTTTATACATTTATACGTTTCCTGACCCTACTTTTCTATGTACGTATTTCTTTTTTATACCAATGTGTTCGCAATAAAATTTTCTATAAGATGAAATGTATAACAATTGTACAAAGCATGTGTAAGAGAAGCGCCAAATATAGAACCACGTCGCTCAGTATGCGTTCGCGGCAGAAACGAACGCATTGTTTTCGTTCGTTTGATGTTTGTCATGTTTATACTTGTTGAAACATTTTATAATTTGTATGACAGTGATCGCAGTAAAATTCCCTACACAGACATATACATAACACATACAAATATTTCCCACGTGTTGGATATATCAACGGCTAAAGGGAACCCACTGCCACACGCCCGCCACACCCCCAAACATACTTTGTGTTTTTTTTTTTTACTCATAGAAGTTTATGTGATATAATATTCTCATCTGATGTTTCTTAGGTGGAGTGAAGCTGTTGCCGGTGGTTATTTTTTCTCCACCCAAAATATCTTTCTTCAGTGGTACCTTGTGTAGCAAGGCGCAGCGCACAGTGCCACATCACAAGTTTTACATCCATATATCACGTCCCTCCTTTTGCCAGACTTGAAACAAACACGGCATTTTCTTTTTTTAGCCAAGTGCACGAGTTCATGCGTTAACTTGTAGTTGAGACGTTGTTCTGAATCTATAATTCTTCTATTTCTTGGATGCACTGGAGGAATATTGTCTTCTACAGGAACCACCAAACTTGTAGTAGAATCTTCTATGAAATCAGAAACATCAAGTGGTTCTATGTCCTCAATGTCCATTTCAGAATTTGTGGTTGATGAGTGGGCTTGAGGTGTTGAGGTGAACAGAGGACGCCTCGCACCAGATGGGCCGGATGTTGAAACTGCCGCGTCAGCAGGAGGAGCTGCGCTGGCATCTATGTCGGGAACATGTGGTATGCTTGTTGTTGTTGGCCATTCCTCGCTGTTCCACGCCAATAAGGCTTTTATTCCTACTGTGTGAAACTCTAATAGTGTTAGTTTTTTTGTATCTGTTGAGTAGTGGTTATACAATGCGTATGCATTGTGCATGGCCATTTGCAGAAAATAGAAAGTGATCTTCTTGGTCCATTTGTGGGTTTTTCTTGCAAACTCATAATATTTGACCATTTGATCAAAATGATCAACACCTTTCATGAACTTATTGTAATCCACTATGGCCTTTGGTTTGTTCATTTTCACAATTTCTACTCCAGTTCTCCTGTCACGTTTACGAACGCGTTTCCTGCGCTGTGCTTGAGTAGTGTCGGCATTGTGGATATTGGTGATGACAGAGACGGGGCGCTTGTCCTTCCAAACTATAACATGATTTCTATTTCCATGAAAACTCCATGAATGAAACTCCATGAAAACTATTTCATGGAGAAAAATCTGAGAGTATCCCCATCCATTTCGGTTAGAAAATGAAATTTATAGAAATATTTTTTCGATGGACTACAAAACTAGTCTGTTATGCGGAATCGTAAGAAAAAACGGTGACGAGATATCTCTAATCTAAAGTGCGAAAGTGTTAATACTGTACTTCAAATTTATAGAGGGGGTGTAGGTTATTTGCTTTAATTGCCTGTGCACCATCTTATCTTGAGTTATCTTGAGATGATTTCGGGGCTTTAGTGTCCCCGCGGCCCGGTCCTCGAGCAGGCCTCCACCCCCAGGAAGCAGCCCGTGACAGCTGACTAACACCCAGGTACCTATTTTACTGCTAGGTAACAGGAGCATAGGGTGAAAGAAACTCTGCCCATTGTTTCTCGTCGGCGCCCGGGATCGAACCCGGGACCACAGGATCACAAGTCCAGCGTGCTGTCCGCTCGGCCGACCGGCGCCCCAACCCCCACCATGTGATGATAGGAGGGACAACTAAATGAATAGTTCAAGGGATGGACTGGAGTGCAAGTGATATCATGGCATTAAGTCTACAGAATTTAATTATAAGCTATGTGACTAACGTGCTAAAGTAGGTGTGATATATTTTAGAGTGTTGCAATTACCTAAGTAAGTTACAGGATGAAAACTATGCTTGTGGTGTCCCGTCTTCCCAGCACCCTTTGTCATAACGCTTTGAAATTACTGACGGTTTAGGCCTTCACCACCTTCTCATCTAACTTGTTCCAACCGTCTACCACACTGTTTGCGAAAGCGAATTTTCTTGTATTCCTTCGGCAGCTTTATTTACTTAGTTTAAATCTATGACCTCTTGTTCTTCAAGTTCCAGGTCTCAGGAATTCTTCCCTATCAATTTTATTGATTCTGGTTACTATTTTGTACATAGTGATCAAATCACCTCTTTTTCTTCTATCTTCTAGTTTTGGCGTTTTTAATGCCTCTAACTTCTTTTCGTAGCTCTTGTCTTTCAGTTCTGGGAGCCATTTAGTTGCATGTCTTTGCACTTTTTCTAGTTTGTTGTTGTACTTCTTAATATATGGGCACCACACAACAGCTGCATATTCCAGCTTTGGTCTAACAAACGTCGTGAACAATTCCTTAGTATTTTGCCATCTATGTATTTAAAAGCAATTTGAAGTATTCCGAATGTGTAGCACAGCCTCCTCACACAATTTTCATTATATAGTCCTCAGGTAATAGTTTTCTACCTAGAACCACCCCTAGATCTCTTTCTTTATAAGAATTCTTTACAGATTTCTCACATAATTTATTGGTTGTGTGGGGTCTATGTTCTCCTATTCCACATTCCATAACATGACATTTATATACATTAAATTCCATTTGCTAAGTGGTGCTCCATATACTTATTTTGTCCAGAACTTCTTGAAGTACATGACAATCATCTAAGTTACTTATCTTCCCCATTATTTTAGCATCATCAGCAAACATCTTCACATAATTCTGTATTCCATCTGGTAGATCGTTTATGTAGACAATGAACATTACCGGAGCAAGAACTGAACCCTGTGGTACTCCACTTGACATTTCTCCAGTCCAGTACATTGCCTCTGATTACTGCCCTCATTTTTCTATCAGAAAATTTGTCATCGATGTTAAAAGTTTACCCATCACCCTTCCAATACTATGTTCCAGTTTCCAGAACAAATTCTTATGTTGAACTCTGTTGAAAGTCCTTTTTTTAGGTCCAGATAGATGCATTCAACCCAACCATTTCTTTCCTATAAAATCTCTGCGGCTCGATCATAGAAAATGAGTAAATTTGTTACACAAGATCTTTCAGATTGAAAACCATACTGTGTACAGTACTGTATATGGATAGCTGTGCCTCTCAAAAGTACAAGTGGAAGTACAGATCTAAACCAATGGCCCAGAGTGCAAACTTTTAAATAGTCACTGTCTTGGACTAAATGCCAGCTACAAAATTTGAACACTGAAATAGGGACATACACCATGGAAGATGGGAATGGAAGAACTGCTCAAGCAATATATTGGGCAGCTTTACTTTTACTTACAATGACCTTATTCTTGGCCTGATTGCTACTATCTACTGTCTTTGAAAGAATAATTCATAGATAATATGTTCTCTTTCAGAAGCAAAGGATATAATAAATAAGTTAGGACCATTCAGTTTTTATATCAATCAACAAAGTGTAGTGTAGTGAATCAATGAATGTAAGTCAAACTTTCTGAACAAATATCATCATTCTTTAGTATGGTTTAGTTTTAGCAACCCTTAAATTAAATAAATGGTGCTAAATAAACAGATACAAATCTCTTTTTGTGATGCAAAGAGAGACACAGCAGGTTGATATCAGAGTTGATAATTGTTAGGGCTGGTCACCTCCTGTCTAACTTTATTACAGTACTGATAAGATTACTGTGACTGTGTGACAGTCACAGTGCCACAATGTGACTATCACATTAAAACTAAGTGTAACTTGTTGTGCTGATGTCCTTATGTGTGTGTGTGTCCTGCTTCATTATGTTATTAAACAATATTTGATATATTTGCAGTGCACCTATATATAATATCAAGAAGGTGCTCTGCACAGTAGAGTGGTTAAACAACCAAACTTAATTATTTTAAGTTATGTCCGAAATGCTTTGTGTATTACTGTAGTGGTCTTATTAAATATATATACATTGTAACAGATGTTAAATGAATGTACAGGTATATTATTCTTTTGAATATTTTTTTATATACAAATTATTACAGTATTCACTGTGGAAGATACTGCAAGAGAAAAGTGTCACTGAATATTTAGAGACCTTTTCCCTGCAGTATTTCTCCATCATTTTCTTCTTGAAGGTGCCTTCACAAGGTGCCTTTTCATCCCTCATGAAAGTGGAAAAGGGTATGGCTGATGATAAATGTAAATAAAAAGACTTACCTATTCTGTCAATCTCCATCATGACAAGGTCTGCCAAGAAGTTTCTTGCTATTCCTTCTCTCTGCATAATATGGATCATTGCTGTTGCAATATCCTCTTTGGCTTTTACACTAATGACTGGTTCCAGTAGCTCACAAACCATACTGTAGTTTGCCTTTACGTACTGCAAATAGAAAGTTGGTATTAAAAATAAAAAACTGACCAAGACAGTCTCAAGCATCTGCATTTTAAATTAACATCTCAGTATAGTATATAATTCATTTTCTTGGAAGGTATTCCCACATGTCTTTTAGAAATGACATCAACTATCTTAGAAATCTTGCTGTCATTACAATAATATAACTGATTGATATACGAGCATTAGAAATAATATACTTTTCTATTACAAAATTAATCCCCACTAATTTAAAATTATATTTTTATCACACAGTGATTATGTAGATAATGCATTTCAAGAATTCAAATATTAACTAACCTGGAAGAAATCTGAATAAAGTTCAATTGGAAGAATATCAATTGACTGAAATTTGCACTTGATTCAGAGAGCTGCATTGTCTTTACTTGGCGCCCTGTTGTCGTGTTGTACTTGGTACCACTTCTCAATGTGACAACGACTGGTGACATTGGCTACTGGTATATTTACTGTCCCGACCAAGACATGCTTCTCCTAATAAAGAAAATAAATAACCAAATCAATAGTGTTATTGCAAAGAATGGAAGCAGCAGCAATGGCCACCAATGGGGGAAAGGGGGTTCACATGGCTCATATGAAAAAATCTTTTTACCACCCATACACAAGCATCATAAGCCTTGAGACAACACAGTGCTTCAAGATAGCATAAAAAAGGTCATGTGACAATAGTAAGGTTTTGTATCTATAATGAATACCTAATAATGAGGAAATGTATTATTATAAGGGATATCTACTGTAGTATTGTGATAAATTTGAAAACAGCACAAGTATTTAGGTTCTAATTCTTTACACAAGCTAAAAAGATTTGAGACACGATAAAGTAAAACAAGTTGAACGGCAACCAGTTCAAGATGGATAAGCCACATTATCAAAGAATACGAGTTGCTGGAAGGAACGTGGCATCAAAGATATAGTGAAATTTTGTTCCCAGCTAAATGTGAAAACAAAAGTTTTATCACTTCAAAACAAGTGATAAAACCAAAAACTTGCTTTGATATACTATTATTTTAATGCACTCAATTGTTTCTTACCTTCTTTCTCTTCTTTTCTCCTTCTCTATAAAGAGCAACACTAATATTCTCAACAGAAGGTAGATTGCTAAACTTAAACTGCTCTCCCCAGAAGCACATCTCCACCTTTTGCTTGCTGGATGTCCGTGCATAGAGGGAGGTGTCAAGAAGCAGTTCACAAAAGTACCTGAAAAAACAAATGAGTGACATGACCATAAGTACATAAACTATAATTTAAGAAAAGGAAGAGAATAGTCACCATTGACAGGTGGCAGTACACACACAGTACAGTACTGAATATTTCTTTGTATTAGGCCTTAATAAATGAATAAATTTGCAGTAATACAGTATGAAAGGTATGAAAGTAGTGTGAAAGGTTCTTGTTATCCAACCTGTCATTTTTCTTGTAGATGTGACGACTACTTTAGAAAAGGTTTCAGGTGGCAGAAATTGTGACATTTCTTTTTTTCCGATTTATTTACAGATTTCAAACTCTATTATCTTTGCTTATTTAGGTTGTATTGATGAATGAGGACCAGATGAGGGCCTTATCACTTACATATTGGCAACAAAGTTATTGCAATATATGTTTCGTTATAAGAACATAAGAACAAAGGTAACTGCAGAAGGCCTATTGGCCCATGCGAGGCAGCTCCTATTTATATCCACCCAATTTCATTCATATATATGTCAACCTACTGTTAGAAAGTTAAGGGGCCCATTGTCTGTTTTACAGTTATCCCTTTATTTAGTTTTTTGGGGGGTTATTTTTTCTTGACTTCATTTCAACATATATTGACCTACAACTTTCACATATTTGAATATGAATGCCAAGCAATGTTTATTAAAATTTACAAGAAAATTCTTTAATTAGAACTACCCATATTCATTGTCAATAACTTAAATTGTCTCTAAAACAAGAATTTCAACTTGGAGACTTAACTAAAACTTGCAGTTTCTGACCAATTCTCACCATTTTTACATATGTGCAAAGTTCTTAGTTGTAATGTGTTCTTACAATCGTTTAATCATAAAGCCATAATGTTTGAAGTTATAAATATTTTGCGTATAAATTTGGCACATATTTGGATGGCCACATTCAAAATTTGTATGATGTATGATATTTGTATGATGTATGATATTTGTATGATGTATGATATTTGTATGATGTATGATATTTGTATGATGTATGATATTTGTATGATGTATGATATTTGTATGATGTTTAACAGTAAACTATACTCTTAAACAATAATTTTCCACAAGGAACATGAACGTTATATGCCATTCTGAGACCATATGAATAATATAATTTGTGACAATATATTCGTTACTAATTTGAAGTTGATTTTTAATTTCTCATCAATTATTTTCCAATGCGTCACATCACCTCTAATTCTTCTCCTTTCCAGAGACTCTACTTTAGACTTTAGGCACTTATCATGAAGATTATGCACAAAAAAAATTGAGTTTGTTTGAAGAATGTATTCAAATGTTGTGATGTTCAAATACAAATGAATGTATTCATTCATTTGGTCGCCGTACTATAGAATGAATTTAGATATAAATTCACTAGAAAGCGTCCAGCATAGGATGACGAAGTTAATCCTACAAATTAGAAACCTGTATTAGAAATATAAAAAAAACCTAGTGTGTGTGTGTGGAAAATAATTGACTCCTTCACCCGCGGATAAAGGCATAAAGACCACAGACCACAGATAAAGGCATAAAGATAAAGATCATCAGACGACCTCTCATGCACCTAGCACTGCCGGGTGGGTAAAAACTGAGCGAAGACTAGCTTCATTCTAGATTGTCACATCCCACTCCCATTTTGGTACTATATACCGAGAAGAGACGGTAGGCAAACACAGTTCACCCAGTGAGCCAACTCCACGCTGCCTTTGTCTCCAGTAGCACAGAGCATCACCTTCACTCACCAGACCACTCCACAAGTGATCATTTGAATTTCATCATGGAATTCCAATTGAATTATAATCGATCCAGCAATGCTGCTCAGTGTATGAAAAGACCATCGATACTGGATACAAGTTCTGAAAGTGACGGCGAGTGGCATCACGTGAATAAGGCAAACAGGACAAGCCACTCCATGACGACCCATCGCCCATTAATCTCTCCAGCTTCTCCAGCTCTCCCAGCTCTTCAGACTAGATCTACACTTCCAATCTTCAAGGTGCAGCACACCGAAGGTAAGTCTTCCTACGCTACTGTAGTGAACCTGGAAAAAGAGTACCCCCAGCTCCAGATCAGAGCAAAACCTAATCTCAGAGGAGAATACATTCTGAGGCCTAAAGACGAGTCGGCTGCCACGATTCTAAAAAATTACGCAAAATGTGAGGAACTGAAACCAGAGGATAAAATAAGTAAAATCATTGTCCTCCACTATCCCTTGCATATGGCCCTCGGCCATCTCGAAAAGCTGAACTATGTGGTGTCAGCAGAGATGCCAAGTACGAACCACGAAACAGGAAACTCGACTAGTCCTTCTCACAGTAAGAGGACGGATCCCGGAGAAACTTTACCTTGGAATCTGGGGCGTGTTCCAACACAGGCCTTACACCCCAGAACCCCTAAGATGCTTCAGATGTCAGAGATTTGGGCATCACAAAGATGGCTGCCAACGCCCAGTGAGGTGCGGAGTCTGCAGCCAGCCCCATGACACAAAAACATGTATTGATAAACACAAGGCAAACCACCCTGTTCAGGCAAAATGCCCAAATTGTTCCAAGGCACATCATGCCTGGAACTTGAAATGCCCTGAAAGGCTCAAAAGGCTTCAAACGAACCCCACCACGCCTACAGCGGAGCCAAAACCTCCACCAAAACGAATACCAGCTCCCATGCCCACTAAAACTGCGTGGGGTCTACCCACTCAGGAAGAGGGGGCACACGGCCCTTCACCATCGGCCATGGTGAAGGGTGAGAAGACCTCTGTACAGGACAAAAAGAAAGATGGAGGACACAAGAATCATGTTCAAAGCAGTCGGCCTCCCATTTCATCCAGCAAGCACACTGGGGCTAATAGGAGTAGCAATTCTAGTGTCAAAGTTACCACCGAGAAGGGTCTAAAAGCTACTAGGCCCCAAACCTGCACAGCATTAAATGGTGCTCCCACTGAACTGGACGCTCTCTGGCCAATGCTCAAAACTTTGGTCACTGAGTTGATCGAAAGTCTGCTGTCATCACATGGAATCAAGCAAACCACAGAGACTCGGAAGACAATTGAGCACAAGCTCAAGAAATTCGAAGATGTAATATCCTCACCGTCAAGACAGCAGGGCAGGAGACACCCCCATAAAAAACAGATAAGAGTCCAGCTCGTCGGAAAGCGACATTGATGAGTCAATTTCAGGTCCACTAAGAACCTATACACCAATTGCAACTTCCATGGCGTGTTCATCAGACTCCATGGATACCACGGAATTATCAGCAAATTCCAAGAACCTAGAGGTCTAAAGATCCTGCAATGGATTGCGCTAGGACTGCACACTAAATTGCAACACTTGCAATGCATAGCAGCAACCAAGGGCATAGACATCCTGATACTACAGGAGAGCTTGCTTCGAGCTGGATTAGAATCTAAAATCTCAGGCTATCGAGGCTTCTGCCTTCCATGGATCAATGGGCAATCCAGGGGATGTGCAATCTATGTAAAATGTGACCTGATCTCCAAGTCCATAACCAGCCCACCCAATTGTGGAGCAGGGACAGAGGTAATGGGAGTTACCATTGAGCTAAGACACGACAAACTTGAAGTGTTCAATGTGTACAGGTCTCCACATGCCGAAATGGATCTCTCTGTGTTATTTGGACACGCGACAACAACAAACACAGTCATTTATGGAGATTTTAATGCCCATCATCGATTGGCACTGGGCTCGAACAGAACAAATGAAGCCGGCATTCACATTACACATCTACTGGACCAGCTTCCAGAAGTACAAATCCTAAACAAGAATGAACCTACCCACATCCAAGGAGGCAGATTAGACCTAACCTTCGTTTCAGCCTCCCTAAGAGATGCAGCAACATGGTCAGTTGAGCCCACACTCACAAGCGACCACTATGGGGTCCAAATTGATCTTCAGTTAGACCTACCCACCCCACCTCCGCCTCCATCTGAAGCCTGGAACTTTGCTTTAGCAAACTGGGACCGATTTCAAAACCTCATTTCAGAGTGGCAAAGAAACTATGATCTTCCCGAAGACATTAATCAGGCAGAACAAGAATTTGTCAAAGCGATTCAAAGTGCAGCCAACCACTCAATCCCACTGAAAAAAACAGTCCACCGGACACCATAAAGATCATTGGTACTATTGCGAACGTGTCAAAGAACTCAACCATAGACTCAACACAACAAGAAAGCTATACAAAAAGCATCCAAGTGATCGCAACAGGATCTTACTTTGTGAGGTCAAGGAACATGTGCATCGAGAGACCAGACAAATAAAAGAACAAAAGTGGCTGGAATGGTGTTCACACCTGAATGAACACACCTCTCTCGGATAGTTGTGGCAACAAATTCACCGAGCCAAAGGGAATAAAACACCTAAAGCTCCACACCCCAAGGATCCTCAACAGGAAGCCGAAGTACTGGCAACCAGGTTTGCAGAGAGAGCAGCCAGCAATCAACTTCCACCAGATGTATTAGCAGTACAGACCGGACTAGAGGAAGAAAGGTGGCACAGAATCCTTACAGCATGTGAAGAAGTCTCTGACACTAATGCCCCCTTCACACTGGATGAGCTCAATCGGGCTAAGAAAAACTCCAAGGATACATCCCCTGGAGCCGACAAAATAACCTATAAAATTATTAGGAACCTCGGCCCAGAGGGAGACGCTGCATACCTAAGGTTAATTAATTTAGCCTGGACTTCTCAAACTAGACCTTCTGCTTGGAATAGAGCAGACATAGTGCCGATCCCAAAACCCAAAGACCCAGCTAATCCCAGGCCCATCTCTCTCCAAAGCTGTGCAGCCAAGACGGCTGACAGAATGGCACTCAACAGACTGGAGTGGAAAATGCCTAAACTGCACCATGATATGTATGCCTATAGAAGAGGGGTTGGCACAGTGGAATGTATTACAACTCTGTTAGCCCACTTGAATGAGACCAGGAATGCTGATATTCCTGGACCTCGAAAAAGCCTCTGAACTGGCTAGCGCCCCAGCTATTCTCTGCTGCCTCATTGACAAAGAGGTCAGAGGCAACCTGCTCTCCTGGACCAAAAACTGTCTCATAAACAGAGAAGCAAGAGTAAAACTTCATGGCACAGTCTCTGAGTACAAAAGACATGAAAATGGTACACCGCAAGGAGGTATTCTCAGCCCTCTTCTCTTCAACTGTTTAATGGAAAGAATGATGAGGTTGAAACTTCCACATCACTGCAGGCTGCTAAACTACACGGACGACTTTGTCATCATCATAAAAGGAAGGGATGCGGCGCGCCTTGCACCCAAATGCTTAGACTGCATCAGTAAAGAGGCAAAACAGATTGGGATCAAACTCAACCCCTCAAAGTCAAAGGCCATGCCCATAAAAATAGCGAAGCCCAACATCCAACTCTCAGTACAGGGTCAACCAATTGAATGGGTCGACACCTATCAGTATCTAGGAATCATCCTGGACACACACATGAATTTTAATGCTGAGGTCACTTACTTGAGAGAGCGAACTGCGGCCCGGACGGCAATTCTCAGGTCGCTAACCTCCCTTTCTGGAGGAGCCAATCTGCAAGTCCTTCGCACATACTATGTACAGGCAGTCAGATCAGTGATTGATTATGCCGCACCTGCACTCACAAATCTATCACACCAACAGTGGAAAAAGCTTGAAGTTGCCCAAAACAATGCTATGAGAGCCGCACTGGGAGCCCCCATGTGGACCAGGCTTGAAACTCTTAGACTGGAGACGGGTTTGCCCTCTCTACAAGAAAGAATATCACAAAGGACAGCTACAATTGTCAGTAAGATAATTATTTCTTCTGATCCAATCCCAGTATGGCAGGCCT